GCAGGCCACCCAGTTGGAGGAAAATGGCCTCTACACTTGTGATGCGGGCACTTACCATTAGGCTACCGGCGCACCAACAAACAGATTTCCTAATTTCTATAAGTTAATTTCTATCTTATTTTCATTTTATTTGAATTGTTGTTTATATCTTGGGTGAAGCCCATAGAATATATAATACGTGGTTGTGGTCTCTTGGTTTTAAAGACTCATTTTTGGGGCATTTGCATCCCATGCTTTTGAAACTAGTTTGTTCTACAAGCCTGTCTTAAAAGTATAGCACTACTTATTACAATACTCTAAAGCCAAACAAAACATAACATTGTGCACAACAGTTAACTGACATGTAAAGCAGAGTATTGGTTCTTTACACTGATTCTCTTCACCCAAAAAAATTAATAAATCAATCAAGTTACCAGATATTTTTCAATATACCTAAGGTTTATGTATCAAGAAGAAAATTTAGCGTGAAACTTCTGAGAGCAGTTCAGAGATCTATTTCACTTCCGTCTGTGCAGAGACTTTAGTAAAGAATTCACGTTTACACTGAATGCTTCAGACGGAGACAGCGCTGCTCGCCTTGCCCAGCAGTCTTCCTAGCCTGAGGGTGACCAACTGGCTGTCTGGCCTGTGGTCAGGTATCTGCGAGGCCATGCTGGCCGTGGTGCCGGCCATGTTTACCAGATGCACCACTCCCTCAGGTGAGCGCACTACAGCTGGCAGGATCCAGCAGACACACTGGCGCTCAGCCCGAAACATGCTGGATGACGCCTGAGCCGGAGAAGTGCTCAGATAAACATGTCTGTATGCACAGCAAAAACCCAACCAACGGACGAGATGAATAATGAGCACAGATAAACAGCAAAGACTGCACACTTCATACTCAAAGGCAATCCTATGGAATTACTACAACATCATAAAATACAAATCCATAGCATCAATAAATCAGTGTCAGAATGACTGACAGTGTGGAGTTTATACCAGGTGACACCTTTGACTTTGTTCAAAGTTTTTAAGAAGTATTCAGCAAGAATGATTAATATTTGTCTTTTTAAAGCTGAGAGAAATATTGTTTTAAGATATTTGGAGGCCAGCTGCAAAGGCATCACAACATTAGTGAGTTCTTGATACTTACTGGCTGCAGGGAGTCCATTGTTTCCTGACCTTTGACCTCTGCAAAGTCATCGCAGTGAAACTGTTCAAAGCTCTATATGCACTGCAGGTGTAGATAACCAGAGAGATAATCTCCTTAAATGTTTGCGTTACGGCACAATGGAATTGTAAAATAAACTTTTTGAAATGGAGGTTGGGTGAGCACGTATACATGGAGAGAGTGAGGTGCATGGGACACCCTGCTGTGTATTAAGAGAGGAGACGTGCAGGAGTGTGTGGTTATGAAAACTCGAAGATGACCCCCTTCCCCTTGACTGCACCACCACAGGTATACCCCAATATCAAAATGTGTATCAATATTTACAAAGAAGATTGTTTTCTTTTTAAAGGTAATATTTGCTCTTAAAAAAAATAATAATAATCTTTGGCGTTCTTGGCCTTTATTGGATATGTCAGCTGAAGAAGGACAGGAAATGTTGGGAGGAGAGAGTGGGGAAGGCAGGATGACATGCAGGAAAGGGCCAAGGTTGGACCCGAACCCTTACCCAGCCTCTGCACACGGGGCGCGCAATACAAACACAATTTTCTCTGCGCACCGAGATGTGTCTTCAAAAGTGGGGCTCGTCTTATAATCAGGGTCGTCTTGTATTCTGGACAACACGGTACTTTCATTCTCATAATGTAAAATTGTTACTTCTACCTGAATTAGGGGTTTGAAAACAGAGTCCCCTGCAGGTTAAGATAAAAAAAAGGTTCTGATGTTGTTGTACTGCTGGCTTGTGTTTTCATTTGCACAGATGAGTACATGAGTGCAAGAACTGAATTTCTATGAGGATTAAAAAACGACGAATCCCCTAAAAGCATCTCAAGCGCTTTGTCTTCTGTTTTTATGTTCATTTTTAATAAATTCTTTAGAAAGCCCAGCGAGAAAGGGGTCTTTTCCATATCCCCTTCATAAGCAGCCACATTATCATAAATCCATTCCAATGAAATCCTCACCCTGCACCAACCGGGGGGGGGGAATTCTTCAGCATGAGGAGGCCACCTCACCTGTTTGAATAGGAGATGATTGCCGAGTGTGTCTGCCTTGAGCAGCCGAGAGCTCTCGGAGTTTAACCCTTCAGGCTAAACATAGATCCCTTGAGACCCTCTTCAGCTCCACTGAGTGGGCTGTTAGCCTCACGGAGCGTCTGTTTGTTTCTTTCCTCGTGTCTCATGTCGAGCAGGCTCCCCAGGGACCGACTGGTTTATTATTCAACAGTCTGCATTTAGTGTCCAATTAGAGCTGAACATGATACATTTCCTTTGAAAGTCCCAGTTTTTCAGATTCCTTATTAGACTCTGCACTCATTCATGTGTAGCTGTGGAATCCAAATCTTTGTGGCTAATGGTTAGCGGTAAATAAAACATGGGAATTATTTTGAAATGGTTTTAAGAGTGTTAGTGTAAAGTAGATTTAAACCATTTTCAACTTCTTGGTCTGTAGATTATTTCAGCCAGCAGGCACTAACATTTAGTTACGTTGTTCACAAGAGGACAAACCAACATGTTTTCTTCTTTGTAATGTCAAACACACACTTCAAGAAACTACTGTTGTCTAACCCTGCATTCATGTGGTGTCAGACACATCGGGAAAAACAAGTTTCTGAGTTTGATAATGCACATGAACGCCGGCTCAAGTCTGAACAACAACTCAGAAACTCAGGAAAGAATAAGTCGCCTGACTTGCATTTGACGTCATATTCGTCGTCACATGGGGGCTTAAATATATTTTGTTAATGTCAAGATATTCATAATTAATTCACTTATTGCACATGGATTCTGGACAACAGCTAAATTGGTTCAACGGAATCTTTGTTATTTTGATCTTTTTCACCTTCAATCCAAAACTCAGAGTCCCTTCAGAATCCTGTCTTGATTTTTTATTCTGCTGCCCAGCCTGTGACTTACTTCTCACGACGTATATTCACCTTACAAACAGTATGTGTAAAGCTTTCTGTGTGTCCCCACGGGGCTGAGAGACTCGCTGTGGTGCAATTCAATTTGAAGGGCCGACTGATTGGCTGCGAAACCTTATTTTCCAAGTATTGATTCTGGGAGCAACACGTAAAATGCAAAAAAAAAAAAAAAAACTCAACAAGACGGATCTGCTGTCACGTCTTACAGTAGAAATCATGCAATCAGTGTCACATACCTCCACCGGGGGGCCTAATTCCACTCATTGCTGCTAAATAGTGAAACCCCTTTGGTTCATCAATCATCAATTCAAGGAGCACTCTTTAGTTAATAGTCCAGTCTTTACTTGCTGAACGGCCACTGCATTTATCTGTGAGAGCGAGCGGATACTGCCTCTATGTGACAGAGGGAGGAGATGGGAGCAATATGTTTTACTTTGATTGCTGGATTCTCTTTCTCGCTTGGCTTGCTGCACTATAATTCCCAATTTGGCGCTGTCTGCTATCATGATTCAAAATTGAAGATTACAGCAAAGATTGACTATCTCGACCCCCCCATGGAATACCCTTGATTGGTCAATCTTGTAGAAAAGGGCTTGCTTTAATGTGAAAGTCAATATTTCCTGAATTATATAGATAAGTAATACCTTGTGACGCATCATTTAACCCAATGCAGAAGAACGTTCTTGAATGGGCAGACTTCTCTGGGCTTTAAACTGAGATCAACCTTCACTTTTAATTCATTATTCAAGAGATATACAGACACACCAAAGATATTATGGTGGAAAAACAGATTGTTAAGTCAAATAAATGATAGCCGGCAACAGATTTAGTCTTTCATTTAACACATGACTAATATTTTTACAGGTTCGCCCTAAATGCCAGTCAGATATCATGTACAAGGTGTAACGCATACCATTTTGTAAATAACCAATGGGAGCGCATCAGAAAGAATGCCTCATCAAATTCAAACTGGGAGCATTAAACTGGTTAGAAAGTAAACATGGACGAGACTTTGACGGCTGCTGTCATTAAGTCCCTATACAGACTGATTTCAAAGTTGGATGCTTGCTAATGTTGTTTGCATGGCCTTGCAAAGGTCTGTTGAGTTGGTGAACATTTCAGTTTGCTGAATGCTTGATTATAACGCCATCCTAGTGACCATTAGGTCTTTAATAAACTCCATGGATAACACAAACCATTGAACAAACAATGACAGCTGTGGACAAAAGCTGCTTCTGTTTCTGCTCTATTGTTTGTTTTCTTTTAATCTTTGGAGGGAACATGATGAGAAATAATCTCAAAATGATTCTAGTAGTAGTCTTTTAAAAAGTCACCATGCAAGAAGTCTTTTAAAGGCTTTTATAGTCTGTGACTTAAATGTCAAAGTCTACTTTACCCAAGGAGACTCTGGAAAGACTTCACTCCCATATGTTATTAAAGTACCCATAACTATGAGAAGTGTTGACTTTAAAATAAGGAAGTGTCAATAGATTTGGGGGTTTGAGTGGTCCGTATAAGCTCAGATAAAATAACACTTTCATTGTTACAATTGATATTCTGAGCATCATGTCATAGTACAGAGTAGGAAACAGTGCATATACACTAGGTCCCTATGGCATCCATGGAAATTTTCATTTTCCTGTCTAATAGCCAGAGCATTATTCCATTTAATTTGAAAGTTAAGGCTTCAACATTGGGATCATCATGTTGTTCTTGCTTTGACTGTATCATTATGCTCAGTTAGGTATGATGGCAAAACATGCACACTGCAGGTCAAGCCACAACATCAAGGGGGAGGTCTTGTTTCAAAAGCAAATCACCACCGATAAATGTGCTGCTGAACCAATTGCAGAGTTTAGAGGCTTAATGTATGTACTTGATAAATGAAACGGGTCACACGCTTGCTGACAGATGTTTTTCTCTCTTTCCCAGGTTACAAGTGCTCGCGCCTCAAAGTCAGACATTGTCAAGTCGGGAAGTCCCAAATCAACGCTAAAGCATATATGGACAGAAAGCAGTAAGGATATGTCCATCAGTAGGCTGCTGTCACAGACTCTACAGGGCAAAGAGAACAGCACAGCCTTGGACCTTCGCTATGACACTCCTGAGCCCTACTCTGAGCAGGACCTGTGGGACTGGCTGAGGAACTCCACAGACTTGCAGGACTCGCGGCCGCGGGCTAAACGGCGGCCAATGGTCAAGACGGGAAAGTTCAAGAAGATGTTTGGCTGGGGGGACTTCCACTCGAATATCAAGACGGTGAAACTCAACCTGCTGATCACCGGGAAGATCGTGGATCACGGCAACGGCACCTTCAGTGTCTACTTCCGCCACAACTCCACAGGCCAAGGCAACGTGTCCGTCAGCTTGGTCCCTCCAACCAAGGTAGTCGAGTTTGATGTGGCGGCGCAGCAGTCCGTCATTGACGCCAAGGACTCAAAGTCCTTTAACTGCCGCATCGAGTATGAGAAGGTCGAGAAAGGCGCCAAGAACACGCTCTGCAACTTCGACCCATCCAAGAACTGCTACCAGGAGCAGACTCAGAGTCACGTCTCCTGGCTCTGCTCCAAACCGTTCAAAGTCATCTGCATCTTCATCTCCTTCTACAGCACCGACTACAAACTGGTGCAGAAAGTGTGCCCGGACTACAACTACCACAGTGACACTCCCTACTTCCCCTCCGGTTGACGTTGCTGTACACTTACATACAGGAATGTCGAATGAGTCGAGCACAGACTGGGGCTTCTACCCACACCAGAGAAATGTGTTTGTTAGCCGTACTATCCCTAAACATGTCCATACCGCAGTGTTGAACAATTTCCCACTTTAATGTTCTGATTTTTGCGGAGATGGTGTTTACTTTTAACTGTCGAGGTGGTTTATAGGACTGTAATGTTTTTAAATCGTTTGTGATTATTATCAGTTAGAAATGTTTTTGTTCATTCTGTTTTGTCTCTGTTGAACCATGCCTAGATAGCAGGGGCTTATTAGTACTTCTGGGACCATTATTTTATTCAACTTGACCCTTTCTTTGTTGTTTCCTTCATGTTTAGTTCGAACTTCATTTCCAACTGGATGTTGAAGACTTTGTTCTCCTCTTTAAGCGCTGATGTGTTATCTCTCTGGACAACAACACATGGACTGTTTGCCCCTGCTGTGCTATTAACGCTCTGCAGTTTATCCTGCATAACTGGAAAACAAAATCAACTCCTCATTTAAAAAATGTTTAAAAAAAAAATAATTAAATCCTCAGATATTTCTACCAAACCTGCAAGGCAGCTGAATAGGACAGTGAAGATCTGAATGTGGTGCACTCAGTAATCCGTGGTCGTCGTACCTGTTCATGGAGAGGAAAGAACGCACTGTCGATCTTCAGCTGTTGTCAGAGTGAACCTGCTAGTCCAGCTAGTTGTTGAGTTTGTCAGGTGATTGGTTCGTTCTCGGCTGATTGAATGTCTGATCACCTGACTGCGGAGTGGGTGGTTCGTTGGGGGATGGGGCTTGCTCATTGTCACTTAATATATCAAATGTAATGTATTGAATTCTATATCTTAGAGCCTAATTTGTATGAATGGTTTGTATTGTAAATAGTTTACCCCAATTGCGCTGCTTCTGTACATGCCACCCCATGAGCTGTGTGTTTCCCTCTCGTTCACTCCATTTATGCTCGTTCTTGGTTCCCCAAACAAAGAAAATGATGTTGCTGCCCTAGATGTGAATTTCATGAAAACAGCAATCCTGTACAGAAGCTGTAAAACTGACTCAATATATTAAAGTATTCATTGGAAGTTTCTTTATTGGGGGGTTGGGGTGGGGTTGGGGTTGGAGATGTACAAATGAATTAAAGAATACAGTAAATTTTATCAATTGATTGTTGGTTTGTGTGAGTTCTGTCCATGACCTTTGCTGTGATTTTAATGACTGCTCTCACCTACAACTCCTCGATGAAAGTCTGACTGATATCATACAAAAGGTTAATTAATGCCCTACGTCTCTAAAAGTACCAATCTGTAAGATATCTACTGAAATAAATGATAAATGAGCTTACTATATGATCAGACATTAAGGAAACATGCTCTGTTGAAGTGCTGGCTTCTCTGACAACAATGCAGCAGCCAGTATGTCCTCCTTCTAACTTCTCCTTCTAATTTTAAGGCACCCTCACACGGCCGTTTGGGACGCCCCTCAGTTTGCCAGATATGAGAGCAGTTATCAGGTCAAACCAACAGGTGTTGCAGCGATGGAAGCGGGCAAGAGAACTGGTTCAGAGAGGAAGTGATTGTACCCGACCTAAAAAGCCTCTGCATGTTTCTAATAAGCTCCACGAGCAGAAACGTGCTCAAACTAGGATCAATATTGGAGATGCTTTTGAAAAATGGAGAGAGGTTAGAACACAGAAAGGTTTACAGACCGATGCAGAGCTGGATAAACACTGAAGCTTCAGTGTCCACCACATGACAACCTAAGAGGGACTCTACAAAGGAGGGGGCGGGGGGAGGAAGCTCACTCCAATGGAGGAGTTATACTGTATACTTGTAGGGTTTAGACTTCAATGGAAACCAAATTACTGGAAGTCAAAGGTTTCAATTATAATATTTCAAATTAATATCCACATTTCAGATTATTAAAAATATAAAACAGATGATTAACCATTATACTAGATTAATGGATGTGTGCCAAGTCTGGTTTTAAGTAATTTGAGGAATTATTTTCTCATATTCAAGGAATAAGAAAGGGAGGGCTCAGTCCTGCTAGCACGTTTATAGCAGCTGTCCCTGATTCATAGTCAGGTGCACAATGGGGTTCAAACTTCTACAAATGTCTCACAGTCTGCCACTGGTAGAATTCATTTCACCACCGTCTTACATTGTTTTTTCATTAGGCTGAAAAATGGCTGATTAATTTCTCAGTATATGTTTTGACAAAGTACACAGCCTCCATATTTCTCCTGTGTATCAAGTACAAACAGAGAGTATGTAAACAGTCTGTGAGAATGCTTCACAGTAAGAGGAACACATAAGCTCCATGCCTGACTATAATTACTTCTTGGATCTTCCTCTGATTCTGCACCATGTGTGATCGAGCAGATTTCCTATTAATCGAGCCTTCCAAAAAGTTGGACACATAGAGGTGAACTTGTATTGGGGTCCCTAGGAGATGTGGAGATTGGGATGCGAGACCGATAGCGTCTGCTCTGGGACTCCACAGTGGCACCTGCCATCGAATCCTCCGGCTCGGCAGTTAGGATCAGCAGTCGGCTTTAAACAGATTAGAGGCTCTGGGGGAGGGAAATCCGCTGCCTTTAGCTGGCTCACAACTTATCAGTAATTAAAGTAGATGCCAGGTTTGTGTGTTCATTGGCGGTCCGCGGAGTCCTTTTAGAGCTGTCCTCATTAAGGAGCTGCCTCCAAAAGTTTGCCCTCGATGCTCACTTTTAACAAGCCAGCAGGGATTTCAGAGTATGTGGCTAAATAGCGTCAGTGTATGAGCTCAGACATGATGCAACAATTTCTCCTATTTCTTAATCAAATGAACACGATGATCGTTTTAAGCCAACAGAGAATGTTTTGACTTGGGAGGATTGTTTTCCACATGGATATTGAGAAGTTAAGTAAGTCTGTAATAAGCTCAACAGCAGACGATATCAAAGAAACTCAAAGACACATGAGTGAAATTATACGAGACATCATGGCATCACACCATGGCCAATAAAAATAGCAGAATGTTCATTTCTTATGAAATGGACTATTCTTCTGAAATAAAATATGCTTTCAACTTTATAGCATTAAAGAGGTTAAAATACAACCCCTCTTTAGGCTGTATTTTTAAGTACAACCCGAACTCCCAAAAAGTTGGTACGGTGTGTAAAATGTACATTCAAACAGAATTCAAAATAGCACAAAGACAACATATCAAATGTTGAAACTAAGAAATGTCCTTGTTTTTCAAAAATTATACGACCAATTTAAATTTGATGCCGACAACAAGTTTGGACAGTGGTTAAGCAAAGATTGAAAATGATGTCAAGTGTTGATGGAGTAACTCAAAGATCATAAGGTGAACTGGTCTTAGTAACATGAGAGGCGGAGTCTCTCTGAAGTAAAGGTAGGGAGGGGTTCACGCTCAGTCAGAGACTGCTCCAAACAAATCAGAACAAAGGTTTCTCACTGTAAAATTGCAAATGATTCATGACTTTTTTTGTCTACAATTTCATAGGACGTTTTTGAGAATCTGGGGAAATCTCTGTATGCAGGGAACAAGGCAGAAAACAAATATCGAATGACTGTGATATTCGGGCCTTTCAGATGGCCCTGCATTAAAACAGAAATGATTCAGTAGTGGATTTCACTGCATGGGCTCAGGAACACTTCCAAAAAACATCGTCTGTGAAGAAAGTTTGTCACTTCTTATACAATTGCTAGCTTGTACTTACAAGCAAAAAGGAAATGGTATTAAAACCAGATCCAGAAACTGTGCCACCATCTCTTGGCTGAAGGTCAGTTTAAAATATCCTGTGGTGTGATGAGTCACAATTTGAAATCCTGTTTGGAATTCCTGGACACCTTGTTCTCCAGGCTAAAAGAGGACAGGGACCATCCTGCCTGTCATCAGTGCATAGTATAAAAGCATCCGTGATGGTTTGGGGTGCATTAGTGCACACAGCAGGGGTAACCTTCACATTTGAGAAGGCTCCATTAATGCTGAAACAAATAGGTTTGTTTTTCTCATTGAAGGCCTTGTTTATTTCAGTAAGTAAATACCAATCCACATCATGCATGTATTACAACAGCATTGCTTCATAGTGAAAGAGTCCGGGTGATGAACTGGCCTACCTGAAGACCGGCAGACCTGACTTGTCACAAATCATTAAGCAAGAACGGGACAACAGTCCCCCTCTCAAAGTTACAGAAACTGGTCTGCTCAGCTCCCAAAATGGTAACTGTAACATGAACCTTGTAACAACTTTCGTAATGTTGAGCCCCTTTACGCTCCATTGTCTGATTGTGTAGTTAAAAGACCTAGTGAGATGTAGGTATAGAGCAAGTATAAGAGTAAGTAACATAAGATAGATTTAATATCTCTGTCCACTTGAAAAACCTACTTATGCAAGCGAGAAAACATTGGATGTAATCTTCCATGAAATAAGGAACAGCTGATTATCGAGTCAGTTTTGCAATTGTCCTTTTTTTAATTTGCTCAATCTGCAAATCTGCCAAAATATAGTTTTTTCCAACAGTCGCCGAGCACATAGTGTTGAACTTCCGCGACTATAATTAAGAGAAACAAGGAGTATTTATTATTGGTCCTGCCACTTGAACAGTTAAAGCCCACTCAGCGACCCACTCAGCTGCATGATGAATGCCTGTAATAACTGCACATCTGATATGCAGCCTGCTGTCCTCTTGTTGGCGATAAGGGTCCTTCCCATGAGAAGACGTATCTGTGAAATCAGGGCATCAGAACAATGAGTTTGGGATCCTGCCCACATTAAGCCATCTTTGCCAATCCCATTCTGACCTAAACCGCGCTTTTCCCTGAACAGAAATTCTGCTTTAATCAAAAGCGGAATGGAAAAAGGACCCGGCGTGCCTCTGGGATATTTTTCCATTAACCATTTTGACACATGACTGACTGTGGGGGATTATTGGTTTTTGAAGAACTATTAACAGCTGTACATTTGCATTTTAATACAGTTCTCCTCAACTTACTAATGCAATTTGCTTCTCAGCTTTGTTGCCCCCACATTCCTGCAGCAATCCAGACTAACAGCAAAAAAGCCCTCCAGCTTTAATCATTTTAATTGGCATGAAATATTAGTTTGCATTAATCACTTCTGAATCTTCACAATTAGACACCGGCCATTACAACTCCTCTCCAAAATGCTGTTTGTGTCCTCCCGCAAGGATTCCTCAGAGGATACCAGATGGAATTCTAAGTGGCACAAAAGGTTCATGTCGGGTCAGACGAGATGTTTACTCCATTAAACTGTTTGCTCTGCAGGCTCCTTTTGTTGTTTTTTAGAGAAACTGCTGCAGATCATTTCAGGAACAGAATCACCCCAAAGCTACCATTGTTTCAGAAAACTCTGAACAGGTTCACCAATGAGAGAAAAACAGAAATATCAATGCACTAATAAATCCAATTTCCTATTTCCATTCTCCATCTTAGGCATGAATTAGGAGGTGACAGGGTCGTTGAAGTTGCTTGATGGAGGTCCCTGAAGGTCTCTTTACCACGGTGAAAGCTTTCACAAGATTTCAGGTGTCTTCTCTCAGATCTCAGGCCTTCTCTGCTGAATCATAAACTATCTGTATGCCGGTTCTCCCTGCAGGTTGTCCACCTCCTCTTTTCTGCAGGACACATTAGTCACTGAATGCTACCTGACTGTGATTGAGCACAAGGTGATGCATGAGTATTTGCATGACATTTTCAAAGGGCAAAAGTAAACTACTTTTAATTTCTGCTTCCTGGCATTTTGTGGATCGAAAGAAGAAAAAAAAAACATTTTGTACCAACAAGCGGTTTGACGGATAAGTTCAAAAGCTGCAGGAAACTTTGAGTGGAAGCTTTTTTTTTTTGTAAAACAGCAGTGGTAGATAAACTGTTGGGATAATTGGAATCTTTAGCTTAAAAAATGATCCCATAGGAACAAAGAGTTTATAGAGAAACAGGAAGTGTTGTTACATGGATCAAGCCTCTATCCTCTTGCAACTCCAATGTTCTTCAAAAAATATTTTTCAATGGAGTCTGGTGGCTTTGGAGACAAATGTAACAGCTGAAGGAATCTGCTGGATAAATCCAAACCTTTTGGTACCTTTTTGGTCATT